CGTGTGACAGGAGAAAGGGCTCGGACAGAAAACCCCTCCTTGGGTGGGAAACAACCCCCAGTGCAGTTGGGTGCCATCTCTGTGTGCCATTAGATTCACTTTTTTTTTTTTTTATGGCCCAGCAGCTTCCGGTTACCATGGAGTGAGGCAGCGCAAACACCATTCCCAGCTGGCATGAAATGTGATCCCGTGATTTCACTATTCATAGCTCTGACATGATAAAGCTAAATTAAGCAGGAACTCTTAACTTCTCCAATCTCCCAGCAGTGACTCCCCAAATGCTCATGCTCTGCTAACACAGTTTCTGTGTGAGCAGGGGAAGGATGTTTCCTTTACGGTAGGAGACTCCAGACCCACACACCCAGCCTGTCATCCGGAAACAAAATGGCACCGGCTCCTTCCCAGGCACCACCTCGGCCTGGCTCCAGCAGAACAAAGACCTGATGAGCTGCTGGGGCTAAATTTAACAACTTCCTCATCTTCAGACCACTACAGAACTCCACACAGGCAATGCTGTGTCCAGAAACAGGGGCGGCTCAGGGGGCACCGGCACAACCCCACTGCCACCAAGAGCTGTCACACAGCCTGGCACCATCACCTTTGGGGAACTAAAACAGCTCCTGCAACCACCAACACCATTTCTCTCTCTTTCAATGTCCATGGCCTGAACTATGTGGCTAAATATCCTGAAATTCCTGCCTCACCAAAGAAATCCCTGTACCGCCATAATTCCAAGGAAACCACAAGGAAACCACACGACCCAAACCCCACATTCCTGCCCTGGCACATGCAGCCATTAAACACAGCCCAGCATACTGTAAACTTTTCCAGAAATGGAGAAAAAAGTTTAAAGGCTCCGTGTCTGCTCAAACAATTAACAAGTTCCAACAYGACAAACTGTCATTTCACAAAGACAAAGCCAAGTGAGCTGAAAAATGCTCAAACTTTTGGCCAAACCACTCTATTCCTTCAGGGATACAAGTAGGGAACATCATAGCCTTTCAATGAAAAGCAWCCCCAGGCTTATCCAGTCCAAAGCAACATTTCTTTGACAGCAGAGAAAGTGGGAGCATGTAAACCAAATTTAGATCTGCTGATGTGCACAGATTGTCACTTATTCTATATCCTGGTGTTTTATAACTGTAACATTTTTTTTTCCTAATAACAACATCCATGTCAGAAAGTGTTCACCAGCTCTCCTGCAGCTTATGATACCTCACTGTGAGCCCCCAGGCCTGGCCTGGCCCAAATGACTGTTTTCTTTAATTCTTTACACAGCTCCTGACTTAAATGAGCTGGAGACAGCAGCAGACAGCTGAATTATATTATCATAACCCCAACAGCAGAATACCTATTTTATTTACGATACACATGACAAAGCCTTGCTTCCATATAAAAGCATTAGAAGTGAATTTAAGGTCAGGGCACATGGCTGCTCCTAAACCCCAGTGTCCAGGGAAACCTCTTCCCACACAGCACTCACTGAAGCACTGACAGCAGAACTATGCTTTCCAGAGACACAGAGCTTGTGGAGAGGCAGGAAATCAGGAAGGATGGAAAACAGCATGAAGTCACCCGGGTATAACTCAGCAGAAACACAGACAGGTCTGCTGCAGACAAAGAACACGGGCAGGGATCTATCACCACTAGCACCTGCTGCTGCCAACACAGTCCAGACAGACATGCAGCTACAGCTCAGTGCTCCCAGGCTTTACAGCACCTTGGAAAGGCACCTCCTTCCTAGGGCCAGGTCGTTTCTTTATGGAATCATTTGCGTTGGAAAAGACCTCCAAGTTCACTGAGTTCAGCCTGTGTCCAATCCCCACCGCGTCACCCAGCCCAGAGTACTGAGTGCCACATGCAGGTGCTCCCTGGGCACTTCCAGGGATGAGGACTCCARAGCTCCCTAGGCAGCCCCTTCCAATGCCTGACTACCCTTTACAATCAACTGGCAGGTAAAAGGTTTCCCCTTTGGATCCGTGGACAAAAAAGATGTGAAAATGAGRTAAGGAGCAGCAAGGCCTTGGCTGCCCTGTGCCTCCCTCATCCCAGGGACAGGACCCCCAGCTGGAGGTTCAGACCCCAGAACTCTGCAACCCTCTGTAGCATTTCCAAATCACATAATCTTAGACACACAGCCCAACCACTGAAGCCCTGCCTCAAGAGCAGCATTCCCAGCCTTCAGCTTCCTAAGGACATTGAAGGTAACTGTTCAAACAAACTGAGTTCTTACTTGCCCTCCCTGTTCCTGCTGAAGTAGGGACAATAATTTCAAAAAGGAAGGAAGCAAATAAAAAATATGTAGCAGCACCCAAGGAAATGCTAGACAAAAGTCACAAGGCCCTGGACCCTCCAGAGGATCCTATGACACCAAAATGTACACTTACAAAAGCTCTCTACAATAACTACCTTGTTTCGTCCTCTCATCTGCTGTGAGATTGTGCAACTCATAAGAGAGGTCACAAAGCCAGCCATTTCCTTGCTCCATGCTGGGCACCTGACAAGTTCCAGAACAGGACAGAGGAACRATGGAAGACTCCAGAAGGCACTKCTGTGTCCTAGCMYTTGCTTTCCTGTGCCTACAACTAAMTCCCTTTGAGGGAACCTGAGAGATAAAGCTTTGAAACACCTTTTGATTGAGTGGAGCTAAGGGTATGACACCCAATACCTGGGGGCAGCTCTCCCAGCCTGGCCACCCACCAAGGGCACASTAAAGCTCACCCGAAATGTCACACACCATCAGCACTGACACACCATCTGCCCTCACTCCCAGCAAGAGGGAATTCTCAGGAGTCCTTCTAGAGAGTAACTGGATGATTTAATTGTGCTGTCAGGAAAAGCAGCCTGAAAACATCCATTTGCTGATGTGACCCTGCAGCCTCTGCRCTGCCACAGCAATAAAAGCTCTTCTCTTCCACCACAAGCTACAAGACAATCCAGAATATCTTCTGAATGGTTTTAAATTACTTATTTCAATGAACAAACCTCTCTGGCTCATCACTGTATACATAAAAATTAAGGAGTTCCCCACCTCTGACAGATCTCAGCGGATGCTGTTGCATACACACCACACACACACCTGCTCCTCCCAAGGCAGGACACAGGGAACGGCTTCACACTGAAAGTGGGTTTAAATCAGAGATTAGGGAGAAATTCCTCCCCATGAGGGTGGTGAGGCCCTGGCACAGGTTGYCCAGAGCAGGTGTAGCTGCCTCRTCCCTGGAAGTGTCCAAGGCCAGGCTGGATGGGGCTTGGAGCAACCTGGGAYAGTGGAARGTGYCCCTGCMCATGGCAGGGRGTGGGACTGGRTGACYTTTATGGTCCCTYCCAACCCAAACCATTCCATGATTCTGTGATTCTATRGAGCACTGCTTATTTCACACTTACATCTCACTTTCCACACAAACACCCAGAAACCCATCCAGGAGGAAATACAGTGACAATCGCTTTGGATAGGCTTTGAAATGCGGTTGTGGAACCTCAAGCATGTTCATCTCCCCAACACAACACGAACTAGTGGAAAAAGCCTTTATCAGYCCGAGTAAAATGAACACTCAGGCTTCACACGGTGTGTCTGAGCCACTGCCACAACGYCTGAAGTTCAGCCAAACTTGACGTTTAAGCAAGATGCAGAGCAGGAAATGCGAGAGCACAAATTCCTCCTGTTGCACGGKGAAGCGGGCAGCGCTGAGCGCCGGTGCGGGACCTTGCGGGAGCCACACACCCGCGGCGGTTGGGACGCGGGATCACGGCTGCGGCCTCCCCGAGCTGCCGCTCCCGCAGCCCCAGCCCCAGGCCTCCCTCGGCGGCCCCGGCAGCGCTTCCCGAGCCGCGGAACCACGCGGAGTCCCGGACACCGGGATGGGACCTACGGGACAGACCGACGCGTGGCGGAACCCCCGGTGGCGCGGCCCAAAGGCGCGGGCGGAGAACGGGGATCTCCGGGAATGGGACACAGGAATAGTGTGCGAAGCCCACAGAAGAACACGAGCGGCCCCGGGAAAGGCCCGGGCGGGCCCAACCGGCCCCGGGGCCGCGAGGAGGCGCCAAGGCCTGGCCGGGCCTAGGCCCACCACGAGGCACACTGGGGCCGGGCCAAAGCGGTCCCGGGAGCCGCGAATGAGCCCCGCCCGGGGACATGCGGGGCCGCGACACCGGGAAAGGGGGGGTGCAGTGTCGCGGTGAGGCCCAGGATGGGCGGGAGGGTGGAGTGGGCAGAGCCGGGGCGAGGCGGCCGCGGAAGGCCCGGAGAGGACGGAGGGTAAGGGAAGCTCCCGGCGGCGGGCGAGGCGGAGCAGACACCCCGCGGACCACCCCCCGTGCCCCGGCACTCACCGGCGCCGCTCCGCCGCGGCCCCTCCGCACCAAGCGCCCCCTCCGCCTCCGCCTCACGCACTTCCGCTTCGCGCGCGCGCTCTGCCCGCCCGCGGGGGCCGCCGGGAGCCGTAGTCCGGCCCACGCCGCGCGCCCCCTGCCCGGCCGTCCCGCCGCACTACAGCTCCCGGCGGGCGCCGCGCGCGCCGCGCGTCACTTCCGCCTCCGCCCATGGCGCGGCAGTGCGCGCAGCCCTTCCGGCGGGGAGCGGGTCCGCAGGCGGGAAATGGCGGCAGGGGCGGTGACGGTGACGGGGCGCGTCCGCCCAACTCTGCCCGGCCCGCTCCGGCCCGCCCTCCTCCGCCGTGCGACCCTTGCCGAAGGGATCTTGCCGGGGTTCTCCCGTCCAGCCCTAACAATGCTGCAGGCCGTAGGCTCCCGGTTTGTCCCACGTGCTGCTCCCGAGGGCCCGGGAGGCAGGGCCCTGCTGCGGGGTGTGGTCACCGGGATGAGCCCTCCTCATCTGGAGCTGATGGAGTGGGGCTGGAGGCTCTGGGGGTGAACCTCCCCCGCTGCTGTGGGGGTCGGGAAACGCCCAGCCCGGCCCAGCCCGGCCCAGCCCTGCGGAGCGCCGAGGGCACAGACCCGCCCAGTCCCCTCCCCGGACACACACAGGCACGCCGAGGGCATTGTCCACTTTTAATTGTTGTCAAAGGTTGTCTGGATGCATAACACTGTCACAAGGGCACAGAGCAGCGTGATGCCAGCCGGGCCCGGGGACACCGGACACACGGACATGCGGGGGGACGTGGGGACAGGCAGCTGTGACCCCCCCCCCCGAGCCCCCCAGAGCATCCCCACGCCCGGCCGGCTCTATTTACAGTATTCACAGACGTTGTACCCAGCGAGTTAAATAACTACATCATTACACCACACGTCTGGGGCGGCTCCGGCGGGCTGCGAGGGTGGGCTGTCAGTCTGATAAGGTGCATATTTAAAATAAAAAAAAAAAAAAAAACCAACGAAACGAAATAAAAACGAGAACAAAGAGAGGGCAGCCAGGCGTCCCCACCGGGGTCCCACAGCCCCCCGGGGCGCCCGGGAGGAGCAGCGAGGGTCGTGTTGTGATGACAGCTACGGGTCAGCGTGGGCCGCCGGGGTCAGGGCGCGGGCAGTGGCCCCTGGGGACATCGGCCAGGCCCTCACAGCACCTCTGAGGGCAAGGAGAGCGGTGTGAGCCTGGGGTGGGCACGGTGCCATCGCCCCGCACCCTTCCCGCTGCTCACCTGTCACCTGTGGGGGCTTCACCACGGCCTGCTTGAGGAARGGCTCCTTGTCGCCGAAGGGGATGATGCTGCCGGGGCTGCCACCGTGGTGGGAGAGATCCCGCAGCTCCTTGGAGCCCTCGGTGCCCGAGAAGCCGTTCTCGTGCTTGCCGGGCTGCACGCCGTTCACCAGGGCCGCCGCCTCCTTGGAGCTGCGGGATGGGAGGGCTGGGCTCAGCGCCGGCCATGCCGCCCCCCGGCCCTCCCCCGGTGTCCCCGCGCTCACCTCGGCTGCAGCCCCTCGCCCACCAAGCCTTTCGTGCCCCCCGGCGTCCCTGCGCTCGGGGTCTCYGTCTCCGGGAGCTCCTCCGCCTTGGGGATCGGCCCCAGGTGCTTCTCGCGGCCTGAGGACATGGCAGAAGTTGGCTCAGCTGTGGCCCAGGCCAGGCCGTGGCTGAGGGGAGCAGGATTTCAGAGTGMCCACACACCTGGGACATCTTCCTGCTCGGCCGCTTTCCCGTTCACCACCTTCTTGTCCTCCTTCTTCTGCAGGGACAGGAGAGCCGTGAGGGGCTGTGGGCAGGGGCAGGAGGGCTCTGTGGAGTCCCCCAAGTCCCCAGYGCCCCGGGACAGAGGACAGGCTCCCACCTTGGTGTCCGCTGCGTCCGATTTGCGCGTCCTCTTCATGATCTCCTCCAGGCGCTGCAGGCACAGAGGAGCTCACACACAGCCCCGGCCACCCAGACCTGCCCCAGGATCCCTTCCAGGGAAAACCTTCCATGCCCTCCCTGCACCCAGAGGTGCCCCCCACCCTCACCTTCTTCCTCTCCAGCCGCTCTTGCTCCTCACGCTGAAAGTGTTTCTCCCGCTCCAGGCGCTGCCGCTCGGCCTCTTCGCGTGCCCTCGCCTCGGCCTCTTCCTTCTGTGTCACAGTGAGGGACGGGATGAGGCAGCGACCAGGGCAGGGGACATGCTGCTGGACAGCTCAGCACAGCCCTGCCCCGTGTTCCCTCCTGCCACCTTGGGTTTTGGGCTGCTTCTCACCCCTTTATCCCGCTGGAGAGCGAATCACAGAACATCTCTGCCTTCCCCCTCCATCCCTGCCTTTGTCCCCCATCCCACATCTTCCTCMCCATCCCCTGCATCACTTTTTTCCCCACACCCCGTTCACCCCAACCTGTCTCTGCAGCCGCTCCATGTCCTCTCGCTCAGCCCGAGCTCTGTCCTGAGCCTCTCGTTCCTCCTGCAGCCGCCGCTCCTCCTCACGCTGCCGTGCCAGGGCCTCCCTCCGGCTCTGCTCCTCGGCCGCCCGCTGTGCCCGCTCCTCCTGCGCCCGCCTGTGGGGAGGGGGCCCTTAGCACAGCGGGAGGCTGGKGCTGGGGGCCGGGGGGACAGCACCCACCTCTCCTGCTCCTCCTGCTCCCGGCGCTCCCGCTCCTCYCGCTCCCGCTGCTCCCGGGCCTGGCGTCGCTTCTCCGCCAGCAGCCGGGCAGCCTCCTCCCGGTCCGTGGTGCCAGCGGGCGGTCTGGCTGGGGGGCTGGCCGGCACAGGGCCGGGGGCAGCAGGGGCTGGGGGGACAGGCAGAGTCAGGGCTGCTCCGGCTTCTCCCAGCCCTGAGGCTCCCCCAGCTGCGCTGTACCCACCTGCTGTCGGCTCTGCGGGCACCTTGGGRGGCTCGGGAAGGGCCACGAGTGCCGGACCCCGCTCCTCCTCCTTTCTCTCCCGCACCTTCGCTTGGCCCTCCTGTTCCCCCCGCTCCTCCCGGGCCCTGGCCCGCACTTTGGGGGAGGAATGGGCGCTTCGAGGCAGTGGAGGCTTGTGGGGAGAGCTGAGGGCTGGGCTGGGAGACGCCGGGCGGGCCTTGGGGGTGGCAGGGGACGAGGGACGGTTCTTGGGGGTGGCAGGGGACGAGGGACGATTCTTGGGGGTGGCAGGGGATGAGGGACGGTTCTTGGGGGCGGCAGGTGATGAAGGACGGTTCTTGGGGCCGGGGCTGCAAACAGAGCAAGAGACCGTGTTAGTGGGGCTGGGGCAGCCCCCGGGTGGGGTCAGGGGCTGGGAAGCCTCGGGGTGGGGAGCCCTGACCTGCTGTCAGCCGCGGGCAGGAGCCGGGGCTGTGCCGCCGGCAGCGTCTGCCGCTTCTTAAGGCTGCGCTCACGGGACAGGGCGCTGCGCTCCTTGGCGTTCTCCCGATCCTTCTCCTTCTTCTCCTTCTTTTTCTGCTCCAGCCAAGGACAGACAGAGATGGCATCAGCACTGGGTGCTGGGCTTGGCTGGAAGCCACGCTGTGCCCCTAAGCTGCCCTGGCACTCGGGGTCCCCGCGGGAGGTGGCACTCACGGGCGAGGGCTCGGTCCTGCGGCGTGGTGTCACATCGGGGCTGGCGGCAGCCGCCTTCCGGCGCTCCCAGCAGCGGTGTGGCAGGCGGTGGTTGTGGCAGGGGCTGAGGGGGCTGGCAGAGGCTGAGCGGGGGCACACGGGCACTGGGGGAGGAGTGACCGCGGTCAGGACAGAGCTGGCACCGATGCCAGCTCCTCACTGACTCCAGGCTCCCTCACGCTGGTTCCCTGCCTGTGCCAGCACCAGCGTGTCCCTGACCCCTGGGGCTCACCCTGCTCCTTGCCGTTCCCAGCCAGCGTCACGGCGCTCCGGCTGCGCGCGAGGAAGGACAGGGTGGGCGTCATCAGCCGGTCCACAATGCTGCTCTCCCACGGGCTCAGCTGCAAGCTCCGGTCTGGGGAGGGAGAGGGGCCATYAGTGCACCATAAACCTCCAGACCCCAGTCCCAGCCCAGAGCCGCTGCTGGGAGGGAGCAGCCACGTGTCTGCAGCAATWCCACGGCATGTGCACCATTCCAGGAGTGCCCAGAGCTTGGCTCKGCTGGGGAAGGGTCCCCATGGCCACAGGCAGATGGAAGGGTCCCCACTGYCCCACAGAGCTGAGCAGGATGAGGGGCCATGCAGGCACAGGCAGGGGTGGGTGGCTGTCCACCCATGGGCGGCGCTGGGGCATGACGATGATGGTGTCCCTGTATCCTGTGGGCACYGCAGTGACCGTGTACCAGCAGTGCTGGATATCACCCTGGTGACAGCAGCCCCTTCACTCTGCCCTCTCCTTGTGCCCAGCACTGGCACCCCTCTGTGCCCCTGCCCTGTGTGACCAAGGCCCTGGCACGTGCCAGCTGCCGCAGGGATGCCATAATGTGCTCTCATCCCACAGGAGCTGTGCTGGATCACTGAGAGTGCCCCGGGAACCAGATCAGGCTCACAGCATCCACACAACGGCGATGCCTGGCCACACAGCTGGCACAGCTGGGCACRGAGCTGCCACTGGCTGCCCTGCAGTGTGTCACCAGCACCAAACACACCACGGCGCATGGGAAACATGGAGACAGGGCCCCTCTGCCCCTCTCCACTGGGCATCAGGCCAGGGGCAGCACCAGCTGCGGSGAGGGAACAGCAMAGAGCCAKGGGTGCTCRGGGGACAGGGTGGCAGGTCTGGCACGGGCCCAGGGAGATGCTGCTCCCACCCAGGCAGTGCTGACAGCCCCTGGTGCCTGTCCCTGAGCCCCAGTGCAGGGTGGTGGGACCTGCCTGCGTCACCACAGCCGCCAGCGTCAGCTGCTCTGGCTATTTATACCCGGCCGGGAAGGCGCCCATCGCCAGGCAACCCCCAAACACAACAGCGGCGCTGGACACATCCCTCTGTTGGACACATCCCTCTGTTGGACACATCCCTCCGGCACGGCCGCAGCCCTGGGCAGTGCTCCCAGGGCCAGGATGACCTTGCAGCACCACAGCCACAGAGCTCTGTGGCACCCAGCCCCAGGAGCCTGAGTGCACACCGGCATGGTGCCCAGCCCCAGGAGGATCAACGACAGGCAGCCCCTCTGTGGCTGCACCAGCACCCACCAGAGCTGCCCTGGGGCAGGGAGCCAGGCTCCCATCCCCGTTCTGGCGCCCCACGGGGCTGCCAACACCCAGCCGTTCCTCCTCCTCCTCCTCCTCTTCCTTCTCCTCCCAGCCCACACAGCCTCAAAGAGCCACTGGCCGGTTCCAGCCTCCTCCCGCAAACAGCAAACGGCTTCTCCTCTCTCCGCGGGCACCTGGGGATGGGGGACCCTGGCCTTGGGGGTTCCCAGCGCTGCGCGGGGGCTGGGCTGTGCCCCTTGCGCTGGGACAAACGCAAAGGGCTCTTACTTCTACTGGGAGAGTTCCAGAGGGTGGCGGAGGATTTGGAGAGCCGCTTGTTGATTATAGAGTCGACGTGTTTGGGGAGGTTTACAGCGGACACCGAGCACCGGCTCGCACCTGGAGGAGGGAAAAGACACAAGGGCATTAAGGTCCCGGGGCCAGGGCCGGGCCCCCCACATGCAGCATGCACGGTCGTGCCGGGGCACTGGGATGGAAGTGGGAGGACCAGGGGAGATGCTGGAGTCCGGGAACACAGCACAGATTGGGGCAGGAGATGCTGGAATCCAGGGACATGGCACAGAGTGGGGCAGGAGATGCTGGAATCCAGGGACATGGCACAGAGTGGGGCAGGAGATGCTGGAATCCAGGGACACGACATAGAGTGGGATATGAGATACTGGAGTCTGGGGACACCGCACAGAGGAGGACAGGAGATGGTGGAATCCAGGGACACAGCACAGAATAAGACAGGAGATGCTGGAATCTGGGGACACGGCACAGAGTGGGGCCAGAGGAGATACTGATGTGTGGGGACACGACACAACACTGGCATTCAGCATGGCAGTGTCTGAACCCCGCAGAGTCATGCTGGGATCATGCAGGGATCTCATCCTCAGAGAGCCAGGGTGGCTCCCAGGYCCTGCTACATCAGTTTTCCCAAACACAGTCCTGGGAATCGGGAGCGGGGTGGCCGGGGACCCCGGCAGCACCAGGTGAGCAGCCACCCTGGGGGAGCAGGGCGAGGGCAGCAGGTCCAGACAGACACGAGACAACATCACACTGGTGCTGGGTCACTAGGGTGCTGCTGGAACAGCACTGGGGGCTGGCAGCACCTCCACAAGCAGCTGGGATCTCCCCACCCTGGCCGGGCTCCTCTGGACAGAACAGCCAGGGCAGCTCGGGGYCGGTGGAGGAGGGACATTGGCGAGTGAGAGCTGGCAGCAGCTCCAGCAGCACATCCCGATGGGAGGGGCCAGSGGAAGGTGTCCCCTTGCCAGATCCTGCCAGGTGCTGCACCACGGACACACGGGGCTGTCTCTGAGTGTGCCATGAGCTACAGTGGCACAGGTGGCACCCAGACAGGGGTACCCAGAACATGGTGCCTGTACACACAGCCCAGCCTGGCACACAACACCTGTACACGGGTGGCACTGGGCACACGGTGCCAGCACAGCCTGGCACACAACACCTGTGCCCAGCCCGGTCAGGTACAGCAGGAACACACCTGTACACAGCCTGGCCAGGTACAGCCAGAGCCACCACAGCTGCCCCACAGCACATGAAGGCCAGACAGCTCCCAGGGACACAGTGCTCCCCCCTATGTCACCATCCGTGCCAGACAGTGCCAGCACCTGCCAGCACAGCACAGCAATCAGGGGACAGTGGAGACCTCCACATGCCCAAGTGCTGAATCGTGCAGGGTGTCCCCAAGGAGCCCCCAGTGAGCAGAACCGGCTTCTGCAGCCACATACAGCCACGGTTAACCCCATACTGGACCTGCAGGGGCCAAGCACTGCCCCCACCCAGATGGGGGACAAGGGGACACGCCGCAGCACAGACCCCAACCAGAGCCTGAAGAGGTCTCATGCAGCCCCTGCCTGGCCCTTCACAGGTGCTGGAGACCCATGGCCATGGCATTGCAAGGCAGCCAGGGGCTGTCCCCAGGCGGGTCCCTGAGTGGAACAGGGACAGTGACGCACAGCCTCCAGCTTACACCCAGCCCCACAGGAGCAGGGAACAGCCACAGGACCCCACCAGTCCCCAGCACAGCCCAGAGCRATGGCAGCATGACCCCACCAAGAGGGGCTGAGCTGGGTTTGARGGCTGGCAGAGCGATGCCCAGCCGCCCCCACCTCCACCAGACGCACAGGGTCCCAGGTGCTGTGCCCAGCCTGGCACTCACCGTCCTTGTGTGCGGGGGAGCCGTGGTGCAGGGCCCCAGCCCAGGACCACCGCTGCTGCCGGATCTCTGCCCAYGTCTTCTTGACCGACCGCTGGATTGCTGCTTCATAGCGCTCCTGCCCGAGGGAGAGGGACAGGCTGAGCCCAGCTGCTGAGGGACTGGGGCTGGGGCCAGCCAGAGCCTCCCAGCAAGAGGCCATCGCAGCGATGGGGATGCTTGGAGGGACACGGGACAGTGATGCCTGCCCTGCCCAGGGCACGTGTGCCAAGGAGCCGGGCACGGCGCAGACTCTGCACCAGGAAGGAGGGGCAGCAGAGGATGGCAGTGGGCAGCTCCCAAAGGGCTCAGGAAGCATCTCCTGAAGGACTCCTGGAGCCACGAGGACTCCTCAGGGACTGCATCCCACGTGCCACCCTCTGTCCACTGCACRACACCCATCCCCATCCCCACCTTATTCTTCTCCAGCTTCTGCCTCTGCCGCTCCTCCAGGACTGCCCGGCGCTTCTCTGCCCGCAGCCGCTGCTCCTCCAGCCGCTTGCGCCGCTCCTCCAGCTGCTTCTCCCGCAGCAGCCGCGCCTTCTCCTCCTTCTCCAGCCACAGCACCCGCTTGGCAGCTGTGGGGGGCAGCGGGGTCACACCGGAGGCACAACCCTGGGCAGCCCCGTGGTGGGGCCGCGTGCCCATGCCAGCGGCGTGGGGCTACGGGGTGGCTGTGGCTGGGGCACACGGCCGGGCTGGCGGGGCCGGCAGCATCACGGCCGGCTGGCCGGCGAGGGAGGGGTTTGGGCCAGGACAAAAGCGAGGCCGGGAGCCCGCCGGGAGCCCGCCGAGCCGCGCGGTGAACAATGGGGGAATGAGGGTGGAAAGAGCGCGGGGACAAGGAGGCCCCATGCGCGGCGCAGGGGCCCTGCTCGCCCGCTGCCCCGAGCCACTCTGGGGCTGCCTGGGGCTGCCTGCACACAGCAGATCTGGGCACCAGGCTGGTGGCACCTGGATGGACCCGGGGAGTATCCAGAGCAGAGAGCAGCAGTGTGCTGGGGGGGTCAGTGGTGTGCTCGGGGGGTCAGTGGGGGCGTGCCTGGGGTCAGCAGTGTGCTGGGCAATCAGTGGTGTGTCTGGGGGTCAGTGGTGGTGTGTCTGGGGGTCAGCAGTGTGCCAGGGGGTCAGCAGTGTGCCAGGGGTTCAGTGATGTGCCAGGAGGGTCAGTGATGTGCCAGGGGGTCAGTGATATGCCAGGGGTCAGTGCTGGTGTGTCTGAGGGTCAGCAGTGTGCCAGGGGGTCAGTGATATGCCAGGGGTCAGTG